ATGAAACACGTGCACATACATTAGATAAATAAATAAAACATTTCATTTTGTTATTTTTTAAATTATTTTATTTTATTTTTTAAGGCGATGGTAGGAAGGAAACTCTGTCCTCCCTCTCTCTCATGTTTTCCTCCCTATACTCTGCCTCTTTTCTCTCTGTTACTACAACCCTCCCTCCCTCCCTCCCTCTGTCTGTTGTTTTCTCCCTCGTCTGTTGTTGTGTGAAATGTAAAACAGACTGAGCTCTGCCTCCTGTGAGACTCGCTCCACAGTCGGAGCGGAGCAGCTCGGCTGCATCTGAGCTACAAAAACAAATATGTGTGAGAGAGCAGAGACTCGCTCCCAGCTCACACTCACTTTTATCAGGAATTAGTCTGAGCGACGCCGAGCTGCAGGAGCGACAGCTGCTCGCACGGAACGACAACCAGCTCACACAAAACAGACATGACACGGTTTCATCAAGTTACAACAGCCAGGAGCGCTAACGAACCACGTAACATCAGGGGCCTTGATAACGACCCCACAGAGGTTAAAAACCCGGGTCTGGAGGTGAAAACCCAGGCGACTTTGGCCCCTTTTTCTCAGCTTGTTCAAGGCGGGAATGTGGAGCCTTTATTTCATCTCGTCGTTCTAATCAATCAAACACTGTGGCTCCTCCCCCACCGCCCAACAAATCAGCTGCTGATTTGTTCCACCATTGTCAATAAGAAGCTTCTTGACGTTACCGGTTCTTGGACGACACAGATGATTTTACTCTGACATACGATCTTCTTCTGAGATGAATCGTACAGATAGCATCATTAAAAGTTTCTATATTTACATATTTAATTTCAAAAGTTCAGTCTCTGCTAACCAGACCATGTTAACTGTTAGCTAGCCTGCTAACTGCAGCTGGAGACAGCAGTCCTTTTTCTGCTCTGCAGCTCTGCTCGGTTAGCTTAGCATAGCAGCACATGAACCAGTTATCCACCTGATTAGAACAAGAACTGCGATCACCAGCTGCAGTCCAAGTCTGTCTGCTGGACCAGAGACCTGCTGCAGGCAGGACAACCCCAGGTGGAGCGAGCTGGTTATCAGTCAGAACTTTCAAGTTAAAATGCTTAAATATAGCAACCCACAAATAAATAAATAACAGCGCTGTCCAAACAAATTCTCCACATCAACTAAGCAAAACGTCTGATTGGTTGTGACACAGCTCGTGAGCAGAAGACAGCACTGTGGGTGAAGAGAGGGACTTTCAGAATAAAACCAGAGCGGAAACAGGATGCAGATGGTGGACTGTGACCAGAAAACACTGTCATGTGATCTTTTGGCCTGATCACCCACCACCTACACGTCCGCTCACATAACCGCATCAAGTGTTGTGACCTCAGCTCGGACAAAGACTAGACTGAAACTGAAAACCAGGTCCAGATGTTAACGAGTCGAGCTAAACTACAGCAGAAGATTGTAAAGAAACAACACACGTTATATTATACGTTTAATGTTCACATTCAATCCAGTGTCATTTGTGTTATTTGATGAGTCTGTTTAGCCTCAGCTTCCGTGCTTCTCCTCAGACTCCAGCTTTTGCAGCTCAGTGTGTCACAATAATCTTATCAGACGTATCACTGACGCCCCAGAGGAAAAAAATCCTGCAGCTCACAACTGTGTTTTCTTTACCTCCGATTCTGAGATTACCAGATCTAATCTGTTTCTCCTAACACCCCCCCGGACAGGCAGGGGTGTGTCAGGTGTGGAAATCCCACCAAAGACACAACATGCGGCGAGCTAACACCAAGCCAGAGCTTTGGATCATATCAAATGAAATATCATGTGATTAAATGCCATCTGCCTCTGATGGTAAGTTTCCCTCTGATGCCAAACCGACGCCGTTAACGGACGTTTTTTTCTTGTGTGTAATCAGAATATATCTTCACCCTCCAGCAGGAATATAAGAGTCTTTCATGAAACGACAAAATACCGTGTTCACCAAACTGCAGCCAGATTCTCCTCGCTTTAATAAAGAGGTAAACTGTGGTTCTATCAGCGTCTGCACAGTGTGTGTGTGTGAGTATGAGCTTTGATGTCTGCTCTGATCAGGATGTTTCACCTTGCTGGGTTAAACTCCCCAAACGCTCGTGCAGTATTAAACCTCCGCTCCGACCAAATCAAAGGAAGAGATTCTGTCAGATGAGATGAAGACGACCTCCTCCTCCTCCTCCTCCTCCTCCTCCTCCTCCTCCGTGGGACCCTGTGCAGCATCACTCAGCGGAAACACAGGCACTTGTTACGGCACTTGTTGATTAAAATAAATAAATAAATAAATACTGAGAACAGTGTGTTGAGGTTCAGAACATCAACCAGGAGCTGGAGGCACAGCGTGGGATTTGGCGGCTCTGCTGGGCCCTAAAAACTAAATGTGAGAGAGCGTCGTTAAGGAACGCCGGAGCTCTAAACGCCACTAAAGCCTCTGTGATACGCAGCAAGATTTTGTTTTCATCTGGAAGACGCAGAGCAGGACGCTACGTGAGGCCGTTGAGGGGGGAGGGAGGGGTTATAGTCTACAATTAAAGCTTTTGTTTTTCGGATCATTCCAGTGTTTTAAAGACTCTCATCGACAGATTAAAAAAAATAAAGGGATTCAGTATTCTGGCAGCGTGGAGAGTTTCCACAGAGTTCACCGTGTTAAATTTAATACTTTAAGACCTTTTTAATACCACAGAGAATGTGATTTAATACCTGTTTCCCCACAGTGTGAAGGTATGATGGGAAACCTGAATAGACAAAGTGGCCTTAAATTCTTTATTATCATATCACAGTTTTGTTCCTTTCAAATCTGTAGGTTTTACATTTATTCCCAATGATGTAACAATTAAATTAATAAGACCTGTTTGGCTACTGTTTGGTTTAGTTAGTGAATAAAACCAGATGTTCACTTCCAGAGGAATTAAAAGAACGACTCAATTTAAGTCCTGCAGGAAATATAAAGGAAAAGCTAACTATGAAAAAAATCTGAATAATTAATACATTTCAGAGTCTTTTTGGTGTCGGAGGGAGGGGGGGCTTTGAGTAATGACCTCAGCATTCCTGCAGTCCTGGTTACCGTCCTGAGTCTGTCAGCAACAGATTAAGACAGCCGCTAATGTCTGTCGTCGAGCCGAGGGTCATTATTACATGTGCAGATTTAAATACAGGTGTAATGAGGCCGGCTGGTAAATTCAGCGTTCTGGGCAGAACAAAACAAGGTCAGCACATTGTTCTCCGCCGCTACTGCACTGTACTCAACGCTCCCCGGAGCCGGAGTCCATTTAGTGCTGAGCTCCCTCTGGTCTTTACATCCATTTACTGCAGCTGTCTGCTCTTTTAAAGCCGGCCCTCATTTACCTCTATTTTCTCTAAATCCCCCATCTGCTGAATGGAGTCTTGGTGATGGAGGAACGAGGCACTGACCCGTGACAGACCTGCAGCGAGGAGTCTGAGGTCACACTGACAACACACCTGAAGAAGACGTTACTGTAAATAACCAAAGCTACCCTAAGAATCGACATGTTACATTAAGTGAGGCTACAGCAATGACTGTCTCACCCTTATCTGACCTTTAATAGACCAAATGATTAACCAACACAACAACGGACACAATGTGTTTTGGCCTGGATCAAGATTTCAAGTGTTTTTTGTGGCCATGTGCCTCTTTCTTGACACTTTCTCTTGACTATTAATTAAAGTAACCAATTGAAAAATAATAAATTACCTTGAGTTTTTGCTACAAGGCCCGCTATGAGACGATGATCTTCACAGCTACAACAGCAGCAGCAGTGAGAGTGTTTGCTATAGGTCTGATGGTCCCACCATAACCAGATACCAAAACACATTAGAGCAAATATTACCGTCTACCGAGGGCAAGAGAAAATATTTCAGGCTATTGTAAATGAAATTTAGACTCTTTATTACCTTTTAACGCCTTTTCCTTTAGCAAACTACACTCTAGATTTTTCAAAACGCTTGGACACATCTAGAGCCGCACCTAATGATTACTTCCACTATCGATCAATCTAATGTATTATTCATTCGGCTATAAAACGTCAGAAAATCATGAGAAATGCCTGTTAGTCCACAGTGACGTTTTCTCTGGTCAACTGTACAAAACCCAAGAAAAGGGTCGAGTACAAACCGGACAATCGTAGAAAACCATCAAATCTCCAGCGCTGAGGAACTGGAAACAGAAAACGTTTTCACATTTTTGCTTAAAATTGACAAAAATTATTATTTGATGATCAAAATTGTTACCAATTAATTTTCTGTCAAATGACTAATTAATTAAATGTGTTAAATCAAATGTGATCAAATTCATGCTTTTCTGGAAAGTTGACCTGCATCAAGACGCCACCAGGAAAACATGTGCTGCAGGTGTTTGATGCTACTGTGCTAAATAGGTAAATAAATAAAGTAAACAACTTCACAACGTACAACGCTTTCCAGCAGGTGGTGCGTTGCATCCACTGCAGCTCAAACACACTCACTGAAAACAGTGAATTAAAAATATGAGGTCAAACAGATCTACATGAGCCAAGAGTCTTTGTTTTCTTGCAGCTCTGTGATACAGTGAAAGAATTATTCAGGTGGACAAATGGAAACACTATTGAAGCAGCAATATAAACACACAACCACCGAGAACGTCACAACACAATGCAACTGGAATAAAAGCCTGTCTACGAAGTGTAAGAAACACTGAGACTCAAACACACAACCAACACACTGCAAAACCAAAACCAGGAGCCGTTTGTCAAACCACAAGCTGCAGAGATATTGATGATTCTCTCTGGATTCAGCTCTTAAATAAAGTCATCTGATCCTGCTGAGCCAGTATTATAAACCTTGAAACTACATCCACGTTTGGAGGAATTACTCCACCAACATCTGTAGTGAGTCGTGTGGATTCTTGGAAATCAACTTTTTTAAACTAAAAGTTTCAGAGTCTCAAACCCATAACACAGACTTTGATTTGTTTCTGAACTTACAGGCGTAGGTCATGGCGAAGCTGCTCCCTGTGTCCACCATGTCCACTTGTGGTACCAGCTTGGGGATGTCCTGGTGCTGCGCCAGGGCAAAACGAAACACCTCGTACTCGTGGGAGCCGGTGGGGAAAAGGCCGCCTGTTCAACAGACAGACACACACACACACACACACACACACACACACACACACACACACACACACACACACACACACACACACACAGAGGGAGTTACTTCCTGTCCCGAGACACATGGACAAAATAACTGGCTGAAAATGTCTTTTTGGTTAAAAAATACTTCTTGTAAACTTCTTCTAAATGTGAAGATTTGTTGCTTTTCTTTGTCATTAATGAGGGTGAAGTGAATATATTTGAGTTTTAATAAGAATTTAACAGAATAATACAAGCAATCTGAATAATTCACACTCATGACAAAAAGAATAAAAGTTTTAACAAATGTGAAACTGGGTTTCAAACAGTCTGTGGCTTTAATCTATTCCAGGTATGACAAGTCTGGGTAAAGTGGTCTTTGATCTTGACCTGGTCTGATGTGGTCTACCTGAGAAGGAAGTAGCAAAACCTCCCATTTTGATGTTTTCAAAAAACAAAATAAAAGGTCTTTTAAGAGTTTTTAAACCAGTCTCTTTGTTAATCTCATCTAAATTTAACAAGTCCACAGAGGTTTTTAATCAATCAATCAATCAAACTTTATTAGTATAGTCTGTTTCATACAAGTTAGTTCAGTTCAAACTGCTTCACAGGCAACTGATAAGCTAACAAGGACAAATCAAGTAAGAAAGCAGAGAATGAGATACAATAGAATAGATTTATAAAGTTATAATAACATTAGCAAATATATATATATAATTAATAATAAAAGAACAGATTAAAGTGAATAAAATAAGTGAATAAAATAAAGTGAAGAGCTACAGTTTGAAAATGTCAACACTTCCGGCCTCTCTCAGGTCCTCGCGGAGACTGTTCCAACGGCTCGGAGCAGTAAAGCTAAAAGCTGCGTCACCACAGGTTCCAGTCCTGCACTCCGGAACAATCGTGTTTTCACAACTACAACAAAAACTTCCACAAACCTCAAACGTTTGAAACAGTTCCTGGAGTCTACTCGATCATCAGGTCCATGTTTAATCAACTTATTTTCCCCTTCACCTGTTGAACCGGAAGCTAACTTCACTGGAGGCCCATTTCTTCAAATGAATCCAACTTAAGCTAACTGACGTTAACTCGCCTTTAAACGGTTAAAAGACGTAAAACTGTCGAGTAACATCGGTCACCGTGTGACACACAAACGGACAACCCTCGTGCCGTCGTCAGTCCGATGCTACACAAACACAAAGAGCGACATTTTTATGTTGTTCGAAGACAAAACTTTACCGCGCTCGCATCGCACCTGCGACTCTTTCCGGCGTTACGCCTTCAAAATAAAAGCTTCTAAATAGTATATCAAACGTGTAAAACTCACAAACAGTCTCAAACATAGATATATACATTCAATCTTTGAATAAGATAGTAACTAATGCTATCAGATAAATGTAGTAGAGTAATTAAAGTAGAAGTAAAAAGGAATAACCTCGAAACTATACTTAAGTCGAGAACTGCAGTTAATGTAAAACACTGCATTAAAGTGACCAGGAATACAAGGCCCAGATTACTGTTATCACAAAAGTAGTAAGTAGATTTTAAAAATGACCATGTGATAAAATAAAGTCCCTGCGTCTCACTGTTAAAGCTCATAATCTCCCTCATGTGACTGCCTTATTTTGAAGGTAAAATACAGCTTATTGTACCTAGCATAATGGAAACTGCTTACAGGACAATATGGGGATGTTATAAGGATATTATTGGAAGAGTATATGATTTATTCATCAGAACTATAAAGGCTGGAAGCAGTCCATCTGCTCTGACAGAAGGCCTCGCTGATTCAATAAACACATCCAGAGAGAACTCGTTCTTGACTTTTAGTGCTGATGCTCACTGGTTGGTATGCAGGGTCAGACGCACACGGACTGCAGGAGAGAGTTTATTCTGGTGAAATGCAGGTTAGTTCAACTTGCTGGCACATCAGCACCAAACTGGAGAGGAAACTACCGCAGCGGGAGTCTGAACCAGTGGTCCGATGAATCACATTATAATTTCATTTTGGGAGAGTAACACGCTCTGCAGCCCTCAGCCACCTGATCCACACTGAATGTGACCAAACCATTCGAGGTTCAAATGCGACTAAAACAGTTGATGGAGGACATCCGGTGCACAAATGTCCCAGTGAAATCATTTTAGAAAGAGACGTGTTGAGATTATTGATACTGATACAGGAAATAAAACTGATGATCTGTTTGTTCAGATGGTGCCAGGGCAACATGGGTCACAAGACGCTTTCTATCATCTTTTCTACATCAACAACCAAGATGACCACAGCTCAAAAACGTCTGAGTATGTCAAGAGATCCATTATACAGTTTTTCCTGTTTTAGCTAGTGGTGGAAACTATACTGAAGTACAACTTTAAACTACACAACAGAATATAAAATAATTCAGATAGTTCACCTCAACCAGCTCTAACATTAAAATGCTGCTTACACAATGATGCATCAATAATTAAAGTCCAGTAATATCATACATATAATAATAGAACCTCTTACAGGGGTGATTCTGCAGAACAACCACTTTTACTTTTGAAACTTTAAGTACATTTTGCTGATGATAATTCTTCTGTACTTTTACGATTTTTAACGCAAAATATTTATATCCACTATAATATATATATATACTGTATATTATAGCGGAATATTTACACAATGTAGTATTATTTGATTTCTTCTATGTGGTCTTAGCTGCCAAAATCTCCTCCAAAACAAAAATCTTGTCATTAAAAAGGCAACTCAACAGTTTCAAATTGGATTCGCTTTGGGTCACTGCAAAAATCACAACACCTTGAAGAAGATTACCTACTGTACAGAACTGTATATCACAGATGATTTACAGTGGCAGCAGAGGTCCTTGTGTGCTGAGGAAGTTGTAGCCCACCAAGTGATGGAAGTACTCAGATGTTTTACTCAAGTAAAAGCAGCAGTGCCACACTCTATCAATACTAAGTTACAGACTAAGGTCCTGCATTCAAAATCCTATTTATGTAAAAGTACAGAAATATTAGCATCAGAATATGCTTACTCATTATGCAAGATGGGCCATTTCAAATGAATGTATACAGTATATTATTTTATTATTATTACTGATGTATTAGTGTTTGCCTTAGTAGTATTGTCTAAACCTGTTGATTATATTTTGTTTTATTAATCTGAGTCTGCAAAAATAATTAAAGTCGCAGTAGTATCAGTCACCAATGTTGCAGGAAAAGCTTAAGTGTAGTGAAACATTATCAGATGTTATGTGGAAATATCCCTGAAATATTATGAAGAATATATGGAGGCTACACTCTACCAGCTCCCACGGGCTGCAACATCCCAGAGGAAATATTATAGGAACCATTAAACACACGATCCCAAGATACTATAGAGAATTACTACCATACTGTAGGCGCTGCTGAGCACCTTCATAAGTCAAGAAAGCACACTACCTTGTAATAAGAATAACTGATGGATTTGGATCAATCATTTAATCAATCAACAGAAATTTAATCTGCAACTATTTTCATAATTAATTTATTTGTCTATTATTTCAGTCAGTTCTTAAGCAAAAACGCCAAAGATTCTGGGGCTCCAGCTTCTCAAATGTGATGATCTTCAGGTTTATTTGTCATATGTAACAGTAAATTAATCATCTTAAGGTTTGGCAATGTCATTAAGACAAAACAGGCGTACTGAAGACATTGCCTTGGGCTCTGAGAAACTGTGATTGCCATTTTTTAAAGTAGTCTTTTTAACATTTCATTAATCAGCAAATCAAGAAAACAATTGGCAGAATAACAGATTGTGAGTTATGTAAAAGAAACCTTTAGTAGACCTATATTTCAGGAGTGTTACAATAAATTACTGTAGGCTACAAACTGTAAATCCTGGTATGTACATTTAACCTGGGTAGTCACGGCAGATAAAACACATACACACAAACACAATTTAACTCAATATGGGGAGTTATTTGAGTTACATATACAAAAGTCAAGAGCTATACACCCAGTACATCACATTACTATACAATTACATCAATGTATAAGACTCTGTCCATGGTGCTGATTCCTACATTAACACTATACGACTCTGTCCATGGTGCTGGTTCCTACATTAATGCTCTATGACTCTGTCCATGGTGCTGATTGCTATCCTGTCAGTGAAAAACAACATTACTGTATCTCTGAGCACCTGAACACACCTACACCATTATGGTAATATTTTACTTCAGTTGTTTATGTTGTGGGAACATTTAAGTGCAAGAGACACAAAAATACTGTAAGTCACAACATGAATATATGAATACTAATATACTGTAAGTCACAGAGGGAATCCCAGCTACGGGCATTATTACCAGCGTGCTGACTGGCACTGTATAAACACAATATAACAACAGGAATATTCTAGTAATATTCTAGGATTATTATATGCACCAATATTAGGAATGAATGACTTTTAAAGGTGCTGCATTTGGCTTCCAAAAATCATTGATTTCTAACATATTATATGAAAAATTATGTAAAGATATTAGGGATGTGTTAACGAAATATCACTGGAGTTGAACCTCAACACAGTGCGTCATTATATGAACGCATAGGCTAATTAATGGGTAAAATATAAATGAATGTGTACGCCTAGATGAGAAATATAGGAATATATAGTGTTACAGAAACTAGAAGCTTCAGATTTTGGAATCAGAAATGATCTGAGATGATTATTAGACTAGAGAAAATACAGATGAAGACCGGGTCTTCTGGTCCCGGAGCACCCCTGGGCGCAGGCACCCCTCAGCCCGCCGCTCACTCACCTATGTTGATATTACTTGGGAAACTTGTGCCGCTGCAGAGCCCGATCAGCAGCAGCGGCAGCAGCAGGAGGACCGAGGGGAGCGGGGAGCTCTGCAGCCGCATGTTTCCTCCAGCAGCAGCACCGA